CAACAACAGCAGGACTGCGTCGCCCCCGAGCCAATCGAGTTCCACGGGCAAAATTACCTCCAGCAGCAACACGCGCATCATTCGGACAGCCTTCCGCGGCTCTCTCTAGGGAGGGCGCCGCACGTGGTGCGCTCGAGGAACTGGGCGACGTAAGCGGAGAGTTCCACGTGCCTGCGGAGCCTAAGTTGGCCCGGATCTCTCAGCGGGCGGCCGGCCGCGGCTTCCAAATCCGGCGAGTTATGAATGCCGTTCGCATGCGGGCAACCGCCGCCATGACAGACGTCGAGAACAATTTCGGTTCGTTCCATCTGTCCAAATGAACGTAATCTTCTGGCCTCGACAAGTCCACGGGGGGCGCGGGCGAGACGGGCCCGGAGCGTCTTCGCGATTGCGCGACGCGCCAATCGAGCGGGAGTGGATGAGCAACGCATCAGGGAACAGTTAGAGCACGGTCACAATAGAGAGCCGCCGATGCTGGCGGCGATGCTCCTTGACGGCTGCTGTCGATGGTCCGAATGAAACGTTTCAAGAGAGGGCCAATCTGTTGTGGGCCGATCGACTCGCGCTGGAAGCCGACGCGCGCACGCGCATCAACAGTGACAAACGAAACCCCTTGGCGATCGGCCTCCCTCAGCGTCGCTTCCGGCATTTCGCGATCCGCGCCCGTCGCCAGTCCAGCAGCGGGGTCAAGGGACGCGCCTGCTGCGATTGAATTAAAGATGGGCGAAGAGAGCCGCGCGCCGAAACGCTCTGGCCAGCCGGCGACGCCCGCGATTGCGAAAGGTCACGGCGCCCTAATCATCGGCGCAAGACCACGGCGCTCCCAGACGGGGCCCGCGCCCACTGAGGCACCTCTCGGTGCCCAGAATGAACGCGTCAGCGGCGATGACATAGAATGACGCCCTGAGAGGCCCCCCCCAGGGCACACCTGGCTGCGCGCAATGCATGAACGCGAGAGAGAAGCCTCGATAGAAGCACACCGTATACCGACAAACGGCCCCGAGCGCATTGCAACCGAGGAAGACCTTTGGGAACTAAAATGGCCTAACACATGAAGAGCAACTTCTGGTGCACCGTGGGGAACGCCCAGGCGCATTCGAAAGTCATCGAGGCTGGGCAGCCCAGATGTGCACCTGGTGCCATGGAACTGGATGGTCTCGCCATCAACTCCAAGCCAACCACGTTGTCCAAGAAACTGCGGCCCTTGATGAAACCGTCTGCGTAGGAGCACCTATCCTGTGGATGGCCAGGTGGAGGCATCTGTTGCAGAGCTGCCGACCCCCGCCGGCGATAGTCGCCCATATGATGGGCCCGTGCTGCATAGGAGCTCACCGAACCAGAGCTGCTCGAGCGTCGAGGGCGCGCTTGAATGCGCCAAAGTCAGCGGCCAAGATATCAAAATGCTAGCAGCGCCGGCAGAAGCCCGTCGCGCGGCGCTGAAGCCTGAGACAGAGAGCCCATGAGAGCCCCGCCCGCGATAATTCCATGGGGCGCGACGTGGGCGAGCGGCAAATCGCGCCTCGGAACGACTGCGCAGACGACGCCTAGAGCGCCGGGGGGGCGAGGAGACTTCGACCTCCCCGCGAAGCCGCGAAAGCCCGGCGACAGCGTTGCCAGGGTCCTGTTTTTTTTTGGAGAGCGCCGATGAAAAGTGGACCGAGGAGCGGCTTAACGGCCTCGGCCGTTGGCGCGAGTGGGCGACTTTTGCAGCGAAGAAGAGCGCGACGGCTCCAGCTGCAAAAGACGAGCTGGCAGGCGCCGAAGCACGCGCTACCCTCGTCAATCGATCCGCCGAGGCTGGAAGGCGCAAGCGGCGACGCGGGCCAACCCAGCACAAGAAGACGATGAGCGCGGATGGCAACGAGATCCCCTTGCGCTCGGGCACGCGCCGCCGCGTCGACCACCGCGCGCGCGAGCGCCTCCCAGTCGACCGAGATGGTGCCCACTTCTTTTTCCAGAAGATTCGCTGGACCAAGAACTCATTCACCTTATCGCGACGCTGTTCCGATCCGCGCTGACGCAGGTAGATGCCCGACGACCTCCAAACATAGCCGCGCTGAGCGACCGCCACAATACTTGAGCATCGCGGAGAAGACCATGGGCTTGCCGAGCACGTGCGGCACATGTGGCCGGTGTGCCCTGAAAGCGAACGATGAGTCTCTTCCCCAGATCCAGTCCCTCCACTTCGTAGTTGGTGCCCAGCTGGTAGTTGGCAGCGACCCCCCACCCTGAAATCGACTCCACTATCAAGTTGCGACCGACGTCCTCGCGGCACGCGATGGCGAAGATGCGAGGGTCCGTAGCCCTCTGCCACTCGGCCGACCCGGCGATTGACTGCCCATAGCTGCCCCGGGGCTGCCCGCGCCAGGTCCAACTCTTATTCCAGCTTCTCGAACCTTTCAAACAGCGAGCGACCGTACGTCGACAAAATGTTGCACCACTTTAGGCGAGCACTGAAATGTGTACTTCGGCTCAGACGTAAGCGTCTATTTGAAAACGGTGTCCGCTGTCTCGGGCACCAGGCGGTGCAACATGTTGTCGATGTACCCGATGGGCGTTTTTTTTTTGTTTTCTTCTTCTGGCCCCTTCGCGACACGATCTCCCACATCCTCCGCGCATGCTCACGCTGAGGGCCGCAATCAAGGGCTCGACCTCGACGGCGCTGGTGGGGGTCTTGGCTAATTGCACTGTGACCAATGACGAGATTGACTCAGCGGAGGCCCTCGGCATCTCGGCGATGACGTCATTCTTGATCTTTGTTCCAAAACCTCCATGATCGGCGGACACGATCCACCACCACCACCACCTGCGCCATGAAGATATGGAGCCCACGGATCCTGAGACGATGACCGAAAATCAGACGCCCCCTGAGGATGAGGCAGTCCGCCGGTTCCAGCACCATGTGGCGACGTCCAAGGTGTCGGCGTGGGATGATCCTCACGGGCCGCCTCCACTCCACCTGTGGCCTGCTGCTCGATCTCGTGCGACGGGAAGGTGGCGATCTGCGAGATGCCCTCGAACAGTTTCGACATTGTTGTGTCCTCATGGGTACTGGCACGTTGGCGGCGGTCCCCACTGGGTGATCGCGATCTTCTCTCACTCCGCGAACGTTGTCCGGGCATGTCCAGATCCTCAACTCCTCCACGCGGCCTGCAGGATCGCCTGCCAAGCCGCGGCGTGGCGGGAGGCGTGAGGTCACCGGAGATCTCCGACATAGGGCAACAGCTGTCGCCGCCTCGGCGAATGCGACGAGAGCGGCAGCAGTTTCAACATAGTTATTTTCCTCAGTGTCCTTTGTCTTTCTTGTTTGGCATCTGCAATGGCTGTGGAGGGGTCTGGATATGCCTCATCTTACCCTCCCCACTCAATGTCAGTTGCGTTGACCACGGGGCCGCGCACTCCTGCCACACGCTGGTGTGACACGATCCACACCTGGGCGAACAAGCTGAGAGAGATCGGGGTCAAGCCGCCGACTAGCGGTATCGGCTTGGCTCCGCTGGGAACCTGACATCTTGAGCCACAGTGGCTACGGAGGAGGAGGAGTGGGAGGAAGAGAGGCGGGGAGATGAGAATGAGGAGGTGTAGTGGAAGGGGGGAGGGCGAGGGCGAGAAGGACAATGACGTGGATGCGGAGGAGGAGGAGGAGGAGGATGACGACGACGACGAAAAGCTCGACGACGACGCCGAAGGCGAAGACGGATCATGAGCAGGAGGGCGCGCGAACACACTCTGAGGAGCAACTTTTGGCAAGGTTTGGGGATACTGGACTCTGGCTACAATTTAACCACGTGGCAGGCCCCGGAACAACTTAGCGACCACTTATGCCATAGTCACACGCCGATGCCTCGCACCTCGCCCCAAGCATTCAGGTTGGCAGTGGCTCTGATGAGCTGCACCTCGACCGCAGACTCCCCCGCGCCTGCCAATTCTGAGTTTCCCTCCTCCTCCTCCTCCTCCTCCTCCTCCTCCTCCTCCTCCCTCCTCCTCCTCCTCCCTCCTCCTCCTCCTCCTTCCTCCTCCTCCTCCTATCTCCTCTGGAGGAGGGGAAGAGTCCATCAGTGCTTTCCCTCTGCCACAGCGTGCCTGGCGAGCGGACGAAGCGCCCCCGGACGCCACGACTGGGCGGCGGGGGGGGGCAGGGCATCCACGCGGGCTCCGTCGCCTCCGCCACCCCCTCGCGGCCCTCGACCGTGCGGATGGCGTGGAGGTGCTGCCTCACGAGGCCTCCCGCCGCCCTCCCGCGGCCAGAGAAGCTGCGGGCACGGCACGGGCCCGAAGGGCAGCCTCCCCTTCTGCTGCCTCGCTGCTCCGGCTGCGGATCCTTCTGCTCTCCGCTGGCGGTCACATCCGCCGCTCCCTGGCTGGGAAGCCCTGGCACGCTCTTGCTGCCGCATCTCAGTCCTGCATCTCGCTCAAGGCCGCCTCGCCTCCAGGAACCTCCCGCCCGCGCGCGGCGCCCACCGCCTTGCGCGGCGCCCCAAGAGGACCCGAGAACGCCCTCAAGTGTTCGGGCACTCGTGCGTCGAGGCTATGGTCCAGACGAGCGCTCAAATGGCTGTGGAGGCACACTGGCTGGAAGAGCTGCGTGCTCACTCTTGCATGATAGCCACGAACAACACATGCAATGGTCACTCGAAGTTCATGCCCTCCCCGCCCCTGACCTCCTTGACTGAATCCGTGCCCTGAATCCGTGCCCTGACCTCTCTTCCCCTGAACGGAAGGTTTTTTGTGGCGACGAACACGCTTTAACATGCAATGCGAAAAAGTGTACTGTTAACCCTGGGAGGAAATCCTAATATTTTTTGGGGAAGGAGTACCTACCTCGCACGACATGGTGAAATATACGTCGTGCAATCCATGGCTTCGCGTATGTTTCTATGACTGCCCAACCAACCAGCTAGCAACCAGCAAAAAACAATGCAAATCACCAAAACATGTAGACAACGTGCCAACCAGCCGAGTTGCCGGCCAAACAACCGACGAGCCAACAGACTAACCGAACGATAAAGCGCAGCCACGCACGCAATCAGAGGGCAGGCCAGCGGCAAACGGCGAAACTCTTCAGATTGCCGCAGAGCCCCCAGCGACAGCGCAATCAATCACCCAGCAGTTTCTGAGGATGCCCCAGGCGAGCTCGCGATTCGTGAGCAAATCGTGCGTAAAATTCCCCGACGAGAGCGCTAACTTCCAGAACGTCGAGAGCGCGGCACCCAGGTAAAGGATGTGGAGGTCCACCGTGAAAGCGCGAATCTGGAGTAAAACGCACGGACGCGTCAAGCGAAAGCGCGAGACCCCCAGGAAGCCCCAAGAGGCCCCCACGAGGCTTCCAAGCGGCCCCTCAGAGCTTCCCAAGAGGCCCACAAAATACCCCCAAGAGGCCCCCAAGAGCGCTCGTCGTCGTCGTCGTCGTCGCCATTCAGGGTCGGCGGCACCGGCCGTAAGGCCTTCGCAATAAAACGCACGGACGCGTCAAGCGAAAGCGCGATTCCTGAGTGAATTTGACGAAGTCCGAGGCGAGCAGCGATGGACGCTGCAGTTCGGGGGCACGTCAACACAGTCTGCCCAGGAAGACTTTCGCAGACAACAAACAAGGTGCGAGAGCCGAAGGGGGCATTTGAATCATGAGATATGGAAAAGTGGGTCAGACCACTGAAACGTGGCAACACTCGGACGGGAGCCTCATTTCCAAAGCCTTCACGCCAATAACACTCACTTGAGCTGCACGTCACCGCTGTTCCCGCGGCCAGGGTGCCACTGGAGCCGACCGGCAGCGGGACCGGCGTCAGGTTAGGTGCCCTGCGTGCGTCAGGTCAAGGGGCGGGGCGTCGTCGTCGTCGTCGCCGTCGCCGTCGCCGTCGCCGCCGCCGCCGCCGCCGCCGTAGTCGTCGTCGTCGTCGTCGTCGTCGTCGTCGTCGTCGTCGTCGTCGTCGTCGTCGTCGTCGTCGTCGTCGTCGTCGTCGTCGTCGTCGTCGTCGTCGTCGTCGTCGTCGTCGTCGTCGTCGTCGTCGTCGTCGTCGTCGTCGTCGTCGTCGTCGTCGTCGTCGTCGTCGTCGTCGTCGTCGTCGTCGTCGTCGTCGTCGTCGTCGTCGTCGTCGTCGTCGTCGAGCTCGTCGACATAACGGTAACCTTCCCTACAGCAGCAGATGTCGGCCGAGAAGGTCTGGGCCCTTGGGCTGCGCCGCCCCCGCGCCGCCCCGCCGTCGAAGTCTGCCCTGCGGAGCACCGGGGTCGACGCGAGGAGGGCGCCCAGCTCCGCCTCGATCTCCGTCCTCGCGCGTAGCCGATTTAATTTTTTTTTTTTTTTTTTTTTTTTTTTTTTTCCATCCTCGCGCGTAGCCGACCTCGATCTCCGTCCTCCCTCCGCCCAGCGAGGACCAGACACAGGCGGAGGAGGAGGGGGGGAGGAGGAGGACAACGAGGGAAAGCGGGGCGAGCTGACCCCGCGCAAGAGCAGGAGCAGGAGGCGCGGGAGGAAGAGGAGGAGGAGGAGGAGGAGGAGGAGGAGGAGGAGGAGGAGGAGGAGGAGGAGGGGCAGTCCTCCAGAAGGGGAAGGAGGAAAAGCACCCTGCTCTACTACGACAACATGCCGAGACTCGCTGCTCAAGCAGACAAGGTCTACTGGATGCACAGCACCAGACATGCAAACACGTCAGGTACGAGTGTCACAAAAACAGCCAACGTCAGAGCCGCTACGACGCACAGTGGAATCATGTGCGCAAGACTGACGGGTGGGGCTTTCCAGCTCTGGCGTCGGTGAAGTAACTCGTGCACATGGCAGCAAATGCATGCGCGAAAAGTCGGCTTCCCTGGGGCCACCACCGTGTACGGCCAGGAAGCTGTGCCCAGTGTGTCGCCGCGGCGGCCCCGGCGACACGCCATGCCCTGCGAGCGGACAGTTGGCGTGCCGCTCCTCCCCGCGGGGCGTGGGGCTCGGAATAGCTCGGGACGTGGACGCGTGGGAGCTGCAAAGTCGTGCCGCGCCGAAGCGTGGCGGGCCAGAACCGGCGGAGCGACAAGCTGTCAAGAAGTTCCCGACCGTACGACGCACGGTGGGCGGATGTGCGCGAGGCTGACGGGTGGGACTTTTCAGTTTCAGCACCGCCGAAGTGACTCATGCAGGTGACAAGTGCGCAAGTGCGCGCGCGAGCAATCGGCATCCCTGTAGCCACCACCACGTGCGGTCGGGGACTTGTGCTCAGCGTGTCGCCGCGGCCGCCCAGCAACATGCTGTGCCCTGCGAGCGGACAGCGTGTCGCTCTCCGCTCCGCGGGTCGGGAAGCTCGGGGAAGGCTCGGCACATGGAGGCCTGGGGGCCCGGGACGTGGGTCGCGACGAAGCGTGGTGAACCAGCATCGCCGGAGCGACACGCTGTTCGAACACTCCGGACCGCACACATCTGACACAGCCTTCCATCTCCCACAGGCAGGGCCGGCGTCCTGGGGTCTGCGGCCTTGCCTGTGGAGCCGCTGCAGTCGCTCGTCGCAACGCTGACAGTGTCACCTCTGGCTGCATTTGGTGATCTGGACTCCTCCTTGTCGTCCTTCTCCATCTCCTCCTCCTCCTCCTCCTCCTCCTCCCCCTCCTCCTGCTCCTCCTCCTCCTCCTCCTCCTCCTCCTCCCTCTCCTGCTCAATCTCCTCCCTCCCTCCTCATCCTCCTCGTCCTTGCTGTCATACTCCTGATCCTAATCCTCCTCCTTCCCAGTCAACTGCTCCTCCATGACCTCCTTCTCCTCCTCCTCCTCACCAAGATGCCCACAATTGTTACTCAACGTGTTTATCGTGCTCTTCATCCTCCTCCGCCTCCACCTCCTCGGCCTTATGAAAATCCTCTTCGCTTCCCCCTTCTTGACAGCATCCCATCGCCCTCATCATCATTATTTCCTCCTCCTCCTCATTCCTGTCTGCTGCTCCTCCTCCTCCTCCTCCTCCTCCTCCTCCTCCTCCTCCTCCTCCTCCTCCTCTTCCTCCTGTTCCTCGTACAAGCAACATGTACGGTAAAGTTGCGCGATAAGGATGCAAGCCCCTTGACCGCCCATGTCGAAGTTGCTCGCGCGGGGCTGGCCACCGAAATCAGTCAAGGATGGACCGAAAAGGCAAGGACACAAGGGTACCCTTGGGACCCACACTTGTCATCGAGTTTGGCCATCATCATCACAATCAGACTAACCACCATCAGCAGCGTCACCATCATGACCATCACAATCATACTAACCACCATCAACAGTGTCACCATCGAGTTTGACCATCATCATCACAATCATACTAACCACCATCAACAGCGTCACCATTATGACCATCACAATCCAAATCACCCTCACCTTGCCGTCGCTCGGACGTCCATTTCCCGTGCATGTTTCAGTTTCGTGCGCGTTTTTTCCCCAACCATCCTGTGGTGTTGGGTCCTCGTTTTGGAGAGACAGCGCCCCGCGTCCCCTCCTCCTTCCTCCTTCCTCCTTCCTCCTCCTCCTCCTCCATCATCATCATCATCATCATCAGCATCATCATCATCACCATCATCATCACCATCATCATCATCATCATCATCATCATCATCATCATCATCATCATCATCAGCAGCATCATCACCCTCATCATCATCAGCATCATCATAATCAGCATCATCATCTTCATCATCGTCATCATCATCATCATCAGCAGCAGCATCATCATCACCCACTTCGGCACACCCCTCACACGTTTCGTGGCCCCATAGGGAGCTCCACCGAAGGTCCCAGTGGGTGTGCCCGCATGCGTCCCGCACAACCATTTCGGCACACCCCTCACACGTTTCGTGGCTCCGTAGGGAGCTCCACCGAAAGTCCCAGTAGGTGTGCCCGCATGCGTCCCGCACACCCATTTCAGCACCCCTCACACGTTTCGTGGCCCCGTAGGGAGCTCCACCGAAGGTCCGAGTGGGTGTGCCCGCATGCGTCCCACACACCGATTTCGGCACACCCCTCACACGCTTCGTGGCTCCAGAGGGAGCTCCACCGAAGGTCCAAGTGGGTGTGCCCGCATGGGTCCCGCACACCCATTTCGGCACACCCATCACACGTTTCGTGGCCCCATAAGGAGCTCCACCGAAGGTCCCAGTAGGTGTGCCCGCATGCGTCCCGCACACCCATGCACACCCATGCCGGCACACCCCTCACACGCTTCGTGGCCCCATAGGGAGCTCCACCGAAGGTCCCAGCGGGTGTGCCCGCATGCGTCCCGCATACTCATTTCGGCACACCCCTCACACGTTGCGTGGCCTCATAGGGAGCTCCGCCGAAGGTCCCAATGGGTGTGCCCGCATGCGTCCCGCACGCCCATGTCGGCACACCCCTCACCCGCTTCGTGGCCCCATAGGGAGCTCCACCGAAGGTCCCTGTGGGTGTGCCCGCATGCGTCCCGCACACCCATGTCGGCACACCCCTTCACACGCTTCGTGGCCCCATAGGAGCTCCACCGAAGGTCCCAGTGGGTGAACCCGCACGCGTCCCGCACACCCATTTCGGCACACCCTCACACGTTTCGTGGTCCCACGGAGAGCTCCACCGAAGGTCCCAGTGGGTGTGCCCGCATGCGCCCCGCACACCCATTTCGGCACACCCCTCACACGCTTCGTGGCCCCAGAAGGAGCTCCACCGACGGTCCCAGTGGGCGTGCCCGCATGCGTCCCGCACACCAATTTCGGCACACCTTTTCACACGTTTCGTGGCCCCATAGGGAGCTCCACCGAAGGTCCCAGTGGGTGTGCCCGCATGCGTCCCGCACACCCATGTCGGCACACCCCTCACACGTTTCGTGGCCCCGTAGGGAACTCCGCCGAATGCCCCAGTGGGTGTGCCCGCATGCGTCCCGCACACACATTTCGGCACACCATTCACACGTTTCGTGGCCCCATAGGGAGCCCCACCGAAGGTCCAAGTGGGTGTGCCCGCATGCGTCCCGCACACCAATTTCGGCACACCCCTCACACGCTCCGTGGCCCCATAAGGAGCTCCGCCGAAGGCCCCGTGGCACAGTCCGCATGCGTCCCCGTTACCACTTCGCCCCACCCCTCACACGTTTCGTGGCCCCATAAGGAGCTCCACCGAAGGTCCCAGTCCCAGTGGGTGTGCCCGCATGCGTCCCGCACACCCATGGCGGTACACCCCTCACACGCTTCGTGGCCCCATTGGAGCTCCGCCGAAGGTCCCAGTGGGACAGTCCGCACGCGTCCCCGCCATCCGTTTCGGCCCACCCCTCACACGTTTCGTGGCCTCACAGGAGCTCCGCCGAAGGTCCCAGTGGCACAATCCGCATGCGTCCCCGCCACTCATTTCGGCACACCCCTCACACGTTTCGTGGCCCCATAAGAGCTCCGCCGAAGGTCCCAGTGGCACAGTCCGCATGCGTCCCCGCCTCTCATTTTGGCCCACCCCTCACATGTGCGTGGCCCCATAGGAGCTCCGCCGAAGGTCCCAGTGGCACAGTCCGCATGCGCCCCCGCCACTCATTTCGGCACACCCCTCACGCGCTTCGTGGCCCCATAGGAACTCCGCCGAAGGTCACCGTGGCACAGTCCGCATGCGATCCCGCCATTCATTTCGGCACACCCCTCAAACATTTCGTGGCCCCATAAGGAGCTCCACCGAAAGTCCAAGTGGCGCAGTCCGCATGCGTCCCCGCCACTCAATCTCGGCACACCCCTCCCACGCTTCATGGCCCCATGGGGGACTCCACCGAAGGTCTCCGTGGCGCAGTCCGCATGCGTCCCCGCCATACCCCTCGCACGCTTCCTGGCCCCATAGAAGCTCCGCCGAAGGTCCCCGTGGCACAGTCCGCATGCGCCCCCGTTATCACTTCGCCCAACCCTTCACACGTTTCGTGGCCCCATAAGGGAGCTCCACCGAAGGTCCCAGTGGCACAGTCCGCATGCGTCCCGCACACCCATTTCGGCACACCCCTCATACGCTTCGTGGCCCCATAGGGAACTCCACCGAAGTTCCCCGTGGCGCAGTCCGCATGCGTCTCCCTCACCCAGTACAGCGTTTCGTGGCCCCATATGGAGCCCCACCGAAGGTCCCAGCCAGCCAGCTAGCTCTCTTTGCTCCGCGCAGCGGACGACCCGCGCGCGTCGCTGGGACCCCTCTGGGGCGACCAGCGCGCGTCGTGGGGACTCCGTGCTGCGTTCTGCCCTGCGCCTCGCTCGCACGTCGTCGCTCTGCCCAGCGGCAAGAGCCTTGCCTGCTATCAGCCAGCCAGCTAGCTCTCTTTGCTCCGCCCTGCGGGCGACCCGCGCGCGTCGCTGGGACCCCTCCGGGGCGACCTGCGCGCGTCGCGGGGACTCCGCGCTGCGCTGCGCCCGCAGCCTTGGACTTTTGGTGCGTGGGCAAAGCGGGGGTAACAAAAAAGGGAGGAAGCGGGCGCGATCCTCGCGGGGGGGCGCGCCGACATTGGCGTCGCGGCGCGCGGGCGATGCCGTCGGGGAGTCCCGGGGAAGCTCCTTGCGGCGGCCACGCCCATCGTCACGAGTACTCAGAGGCAGTCATTCTCAAACTATTGACATTCATGTACAATTGCACCATGCTTTGTCATACTCGCATTCATGCACGTAGACTCGCTCGCACGCAGATTCATTCACAGTCAGACGCACCCGCGCTCAGATTCACCCGCGCTCAGTCTCCCTACGTACTCAGATCAATCGTTTTCGTTCGCGTTGTGTACCACGCCACTCATGTCGGCACACCCCTAGCACGGTTCGTTGCCTCATAGGGATCGCCACCGAAGACGTGAATCACTATTGCGGTACTCACATCTGCATATGGTTGGGTCCCTCGTCAGGCTAATTTTTGCTCGCTCGTCCAGGATGGTCCTCGATGGTTCTCGCCGAGGAGAAAAAAAACACGTCCGAGCGATGCCAGGTCACCGTCACCATCATCCGCCGCCCGCCAGTACTCCTCCTATCCAGCCTTGACCTTTCCATCGTGGCTCCTCTCCGTTCCTGACTCTCTCTGCCGCCCTCCCTCCCAACACGGCAGCAGAAAAATCATCCTGGCGAAGGACCCAACCATATGCAGTTGTGGGTACAGCAATTGTGAACATCTTCTTGGGTGAAACTCCCTATGGGACCACGACGCGCTGCACTGGGTGGGGGGGAGCGCTGTTCTGGGTGAGTGGTGTTGCAAGTAAGGCTTCCGGGATGCATGCGGACGGTCCCACTGGGGGCTTCGGTGGAGCTCCCTATGGGGCCACGAAATGCTGCACTGGGCAATTGAAAATGCCAAATTGGGCTTCCAGGGCGCATGCGGACGGTCCCACTGGAGGCTTCGGTGGAACTCCCTATGGGGCCACGAAGCGCTGTACTGGGTGGGTGAAAATGCCAAATTGGGCTTCCGGGGCGCATGCAGACGGTCCCGCTGGGGCTTCGGTGGAGCTCCCTATGGGGCCACGGAACGCTGTATTGGGTGGGTAAAAATGCCACGTTGGGCTTTCGGGACGCACGCGTACGGTGGCACTGGGGCCTTCGGTG